TTGTGTGTGTGTGTGTGCGGGTGTGGGTACATACATACATATATGTATATATGTATATATATATATATATATATATATATATATATATATATGTATATATATGTATATATATATATATAAATATATGTGTGTGTGTATGTATGTGTGTGTATGGTATATATATATATCTTGAACATACATATTCATCACCACACCAATAGATACATACTCTCCATCTCGCTATCCTCATCCTCGTCCTCGTCTGATGTATCTGTATCTGTTAACTGGTCAGAAACTGTGCCAACGTCTAAGTGCACCCACTCATAGACTTCTCCGCCGAACAAGCGCGGTGTGAGACGCACGCCCACACCCTCGGACGACATGCGTGTTTTCTCATTGTCTATACTCAGTAGCATGCCTCTCCTGTACATATTTATGGAGAGAGGAGAACATATCATACATTGGTTTGTACTGGATTTACTGGTAGGAAAAGTACTTGTTGACGTGTGTTGCTTGTAGATTGACGGTGCTTATTGTAAGTGAAGGTCCGTGAGTGTACGCTCTTTTAAGTACACACATGTGCTACTGTATGAATGTGTATGGTGTTTCGTTTTAGAACAAGAAGTAAAACTTCTGAAAATATGAATTTGTAAAGAAGCCTAATAGTTATGTATAATAACACATGACATACAACCAAAAAGCAAGTTACATATACATAGGACCCGCACATGAAATTTGAGTACAGAATACGATGATGGAATGCTCGCACTGTAATGCTATCCGTAGAGCAATTGACCAACTGAGCTGAGACACGATACCCTTCAACCGCGACCACACATGCGGACTGAATCATGAAAGTAACAGAGTCAAGGCCGATAGATAATTGCAGACCAGGAGAGCACCGCGGCACATCAGTTTCTGTGCTAAAACGATATGTGTGTGTGTGTTGTGTATGTATGCACATATCCAACCGTGCTCCGGAATTGTATTCACGTGTACGTACCTGTAACTCACACCCATATGTATACACATATGCACATGCCATGTCTACGTATACATAGCTGATCATCATAGCAACGTGTATACACATATGCACATGTCATACATACATATACTAACCTATAACACCCGTGTTTATACCTATTTACACCTGCCATACCTACATATACCTACCTATAGCCCACACCCACATGTATACACATATACACATATCCCACCCACATGCACGTACCTGTATCCCATATCCACAGGCGCCACCAGCGCATCTGAAACCAGCACTCGGAGACCGTCTGAGGCCGCGCACAGATTGCGCAGCCATTTGGTCATAGCCATAGCACAGAACATATGACTCATAACCTTGGCATTTATGACACGTGTTTTCAGGCGAATCTCTTTGAGCGTGTCACACACCGCTTGACACCGGCTTTTGCTGCTTACCATGAAGGACGCCCAGCCGTGGCTATTTATAGATACAGATAATTGGGCGCGCTTAGTGGTGATTGTGACATACCGGCATGCATACGTGTTATCTGATATAAACATCCGTTTACATGGTCTTAAGGTCTCCCCTATCCACGTATGTGTCAAAAGTGTCAAACGTGTCAAAACTACTATAATTGACTGATAGGTAATTATCTGCGCTCCTATGTATTAGACGATCACACGAACCAAACTATCACAAAGGTCTGACAGATACAGTCTCATAGTTAAGAGTGTTCACTTACGTATCAGCAATCATAGGTCTCTCATATGTAAATATCTGACCACGTACAATCACAGCTGACTGGTATCTACACAACTGTTCACGTACGAATCATAACAGTTGTTCTGTATATACATATCTGTTCCCGTACGATTCTTAAGATCACGGCGGTCTAACATACACATCCCAGTAGTTAAACCTATCATACAAATCGATTTTCACACACAAATCAATCCATCCCAATAGCCTAACGCATACATACAACCTCCTAGTCAACTAACACCGCACCAACACACACACACACACATAGTCGTGTACATACGAATCGACTATCATGGCGATCTCCTCGCGGCGTTGTTTAGGTGCGTTAATGGCCTTCATGAGCTGAGAAGTGACTGAGTGAAACGAGTGAGTCTCGTCGTTCAGCAGCACCGCGTGCCATTTGGGTGACAGGTCCTCGTCTTCAATCCACTTGTCCGCCTGTTGCGCAAAGGCCGGGGCGGTCTCGTTCCTGTTTAATTGTCCAGTACTGAGAGGTGCGTCGTAGGTGTCCCCAGAGCTCCACTCCAGACCACCCCCCAGTACCCAAGTGATGTATAGCACAACGCACTTCAGCAGCGGTCCAGAGGACAAAATTAGACCCTGGAATTATGGGAGGTGTTCATAAGCACGTATACTAATAAAGTGGAGCATTTGGATATCTAACCATATGAATTGTATATAGGCAACATATATAAATAATGTGAAGCATTTGAATATTTAACCATGGGAGATGGGTATAGGCACGTATGTTAATAATGCGAAACATTTGAATATTAAAGAATGAAAGATGGATATAGACACGTATGTTAATAATGTGAATTATTTGAACATTAGACCATATAAGTGGAATAAAAGCGCGTAGTTTGTGTGTAGACATTTTAGTTATAGGTACGTGATGTAGTTTGTACACGATTAATACACGAGCAGAGTAGGAGCCTACAACACACATCTGTAGGGAAACAGTGCCATTGTAAGAGTGTACATTGCTTGCAACTGGTATGATCTCAAGGGATGAACCATACAACGTAGATCAGTGCCCCCGGGGCCACTAACTAATCGAATAGCACACCGGTGCATGGCCTACCACAGCCCATAGGTACACATTCAGAGACCACCACACACACACACACACACCCCTACATACACATCGACGCAGCCATAAATACACGGAAACGTATACCATGTACACACAAACTAGCACATAAGGACATACACGCACATGCACATGCACATGCAAACACTATCACACCTTGGGTAACAAGTCTACGGGGTTCAGTGGCTTGCCGTCGGCGCCTGTCAGTTCCTGAGGGCTGTGCTTGACGCAGTGGGCTGTGCTGTCTACCCACGCCTCGGGATCACCACAGTCACAGCAACCTGTAGCAGCAGTAGCAGAGATGAAGAGCGCGCACGTGTTGTAGTAAGACGTATATATCACTGAGCTATTCGGAAGCATGCGCAATGTGGTAGGTAGGCTATATAGAGTGTCTTATGGAAAATAGATATGTGTACCGGTGTATGAATATCCGTCGCAGGATGGGGACATATATCCATGCGTTTGGTATGGTGTATACTTAGACACACGCATCATATAGGGTGGATGGCCTGAGCCTAAAAGCCTGTGTATTCCAACTAAATCCCACAGGAGCTACACATAGCACAAGGAAAACGCAAACCCGACCAGCAATTGCATGGGTCGCATTTGCATGTACTCTATACGAACCATAAACATGTATGCCTGTAGAGTGCTAGACAAATATCGCGATGCAGCGGCACAGTCTTATATTAATTTGTGCGGACCCGCATACATATATGCCTGTAAGGCTGGACTAGTATCAAAGCACATCGACGCAGTCCTATTATAGAACCGAATATGCCCATCGTCGTGTCAGGCGCATTGCGATTAGATAAAGTAACCATGGCAACCCGCACGGGGGCACTCCGCATACATGTTCGAAGCGAGGTGTTAGAGCGCACTTAGCAGTACACAGTGGGTAGATGATACCCACAACTGCCAGTGAGTTCCGAGAATGAACGACACAACATATCCTGCGAATGCGTGGAGGTCGATAGGGATCACAAGACATTGTGCACATACATCGCTGGTTAGATTACCAGCAAGTAGTCCGCAAATGAAGGTGATATCGACATATACGCGGCTTGCTCTCTTGGCCTGCGCGCACGCGATTATGTATCGGACAAACAACCCTAAAACCCTAAAACGCACACACTACATCTGCAGATTCCCAAGCGCGCTACACTCACAAAACCACAAAAGACTCGCAGATCTACACGGCGTGGGTCAGGACTTAACCCCTCGTTTATACGGAACGCCCAAGTAATGACTCACTAAAACCTTGTCATCGCACCCCGCCAAAAGTAGTGCATGTACGCATACACAAGGAAGCGGCTATCGCTTATCCGCATACAACACGTCTCCCAGGAACATCATGCAGTCGTTGGTGCACTTATGGAAACAGGTGCATATGTCCTCAACCATAGACAGTGTCGACCGTACCGGCTGAGCCAACCCACACATAATACCCGAAACAAACAGTACATTCCAGTACACTACTCGTGGGGTCAAGGCCACTCAAACAAGGACATATAACAGGTCAGCAGCAACACACGCACGGGCTTTTTGTCGCCCATATAATTCCCATATATATATATATGTGTGTGTGTGTGTGTGCGTGTGTGTATGCGCAAATCTTAAACATTACACACAAACTCACCTCCGCCTCCGGAGGTAGACATGATGTAGTTGTGGGTGCGGTGATTGCTATCCTGGAAGCAGGTCTGACACAACACGCACGTGGGATCGTTCGCACAGTCTTTGCACAGGAAAGTGGGGTCACCGTTTTTAAACACTCGCCCGCAAGTCGTCGGGGGGGCATTAAGTCGTTGCAAGGAGGATATCACCTGAGACGCATGGAAGTAAAAATTTATAGGCAAACGGGCAGGTGGGGGTGCAAAGCGCATGTTGGGCATCAGAAGTATCATAATTTGTGTTAATAGATATTAATACTTGCGGCGATGAGCATACGTATTTACTTATGTATTATATATATATATATATATAAACATGCATATATACACACATACATATATATATATATATATATATATATGCATATATATATATATATATATATATATGTATATATATATATATAATATATTTATATATATATAATATATATATATATATATATATATAAGCATACATGTAAAATATATATATATATATGTGTGTATGTGTACACGTATGCATATATATATATATATATATATATATATATATATATATATATATGTGTGTGTGTGTACATGTGTGTGTGTATATATGTGTGTGTGTACACGTGTGTGTGTGTGTATGTGTGTGTGTGTATGCGTAAGTGTGTTTACGCACATATATAATCCTAACATAGGAAGCTAAAATGTTTTAACGATCAAATATGTGGCACTCCGCATTGAGTTCAATAAAATATTGGTGGACGCACGACCACAAATTGAATCCGGCAATTGTACGTTGGTTGTTTATAGCAAAGTACCTCTTCAGCATCCGTCGCGTTTCCTACCCCCACCATCAACATCTGAAGTTTGTTGATAATGGGCTTCGCCAGAACATTTGCATTGTCCACATCTTCAAACTTGGATACACCGACAGACTTGAATAGTTCCGGAACATCATTTAGGAAGATGCTAAGAGCTCCTCTCCCCGTAGTCATTGTGTTTTAGATTTTGATACATAGGTTTACAAGATGCCTACGGTTGTAAGTAGAGTCGTTCATAAATGTGCACACACTCGTAGTCTCCTTCAAAAATACCTCTGTATACGATTTGTACTTTGAATGTATTTACTTCGTCTCTATACTTTATAGTCAAGAAGAGAGGGACTGAATGGAGTGTCATCACGAGTCATCAAGTCCGACAAAAGAGGTCCTTCACAAGAAATACAAAAAATATTCGATGTTTCGTCATAGATTCGGTATTTACAAATTGTACAGTGTCAAGCTTTTTCAATTCACGAACTCTGGTGTCAGGACCCCTGGGGGCCCGGTAATAAGTATGTTCATCCTGATAATAATAAACGACAGTATTTAAAATATTTTTAATTTTTGAAACAAATATCGATAGTAGGGAGCACTCAACGCTGTGAATGCATTTGAAACATCGTGATATATAAACCAAAACAAAAATGCAAATAAATTATTAAAAATAGAATTGCATCCAACTTTCTCGTGGTGTAGGGGTTATCACATCATGTTTACACCGTGAGGGTCGTCAGTTCGATTCTGGCCGAGAAAATTCTCAAACGATTTAATTTTTCTTCAAATGTGTATATAGGATACTTGAAGTAGATATATCAACCTGTGTCGACTATGATAATGTACACAAGCCACATGCACCAGTTACGAGCGAACCAATGCATACGCCAATTGTGCGCCCACGGAGAGATTCGATATCGCTCAAATGTGAGACACATTTTAGTATGAAATTTTTTAGTGTAGTTTATGCGATGTGTCAGCGGGTACAGAACATCTGTATACATAAGAACCTCTCTGGGCATGAACAAGATCTGGTGGTCAGAATTCTTCTAGGTATGTGTGGAGACATGGCTCGTTATAAATATCTAAAGGTATAGTTTTCGTGTGCGATGGTACGTGTAGAATAAAGCATCTTCTTATTGTGACTGGTTGGCAGATAAAATTATAGCGTATGCTATGTCCCTTTTGAATGTTGAAACAAATATGCTAGGATAATTTAATGTGCAATAACGTTGAAGTTTAGATCTCGCTATCCTGCGTGCACTTCTTAATCGATGTAGCTTGCCACCACACAATGAATATTCGAACATCCCAACATTTTAGTAGTTCGAGCTTGTCTGTAACTATATTCAATTAATTATACTTCTGATTGTCAAGATATTGGACTACTCTACAATGTAAGTTCAGGTTCCGGCCAACCAGTTGTACATCAAGCTAAATGGGGATGAACAGTATCATATTATCTTCAGTCAGTTTGATTGTGAACTAAATGTTACAGTCAATCATGAAGTGCTAAGTGTATCGTAGTGAATTCTGTTTGGCCTCGAATCAGAGAACGTGAGCCCAGGAGTCGATTTTTGCAATAGTAGTATCGTAATTACAAATGACCGACATATCGGGCTATTATCCTCTACAGAGTAGATAAACACAGATCATCCACTTCAGTACAGTGTGGGTAAAATAAATGGCTAGTACTTAATTAAATTTCACTTGTTGCTCACCATAAATGTACATATAGTCATTATATTCATGTATACTAAGAGCTGCTCAGGAGATGAAATAATAGTTGCTGGTACAAATAGACTTGTATATACGTTATATAATGCGCAATGTGTCAAAAAATCAAGTTCAAACTATTGCATTGATGAAAATTTTATTAATAATCTTGTAAATACTATTCTTCTCGTACTATAGAAATGGGAAGCAAATTATTGTTGGATTCTCTTAGTGTCTCGTTCCCGATATAGTGGCCTATATCATATTATATGTGGTTTGTTCCAAGACGGTTGTCAGTCATATTCTTACTCAATTGATATGGCTTTTGTGTAGTGAAGTACTGTGTACAAACTCAGAATGCGCAAAAACTTGGTAGTAAGAGATTCCAACAAATTGACAATGTGCACAACAGTAGGGCTTAGGTTTACCTGACGAGGCTCTGGATATGTGAGAATCGATACCGCTGAGATAAAAGTTGGAAGTGGCGTGAGTTTAGGGGTTGGGTTAGTTGAATGTACTTCTTACTATAATTGATACCTGTCGAGGCGAATTAATCTATCTTGATTAAGGTTTTGATGCTCACATATGCTAAGATCCATATTATGTACTAAATAAGATGAGGAGTGCGGTACTATGTTGCAACTTATATCAACCTAGCACGAATCAGCATGTGAAACTAGTAAAACCGCTTCAGTATACATTCTGCTATCTCCAGCATCCCCGCAATAAAGTCTTAAACCCTGTATTGCCCGAGGTGAAACCATGATTTGTCTACGTTAATCTGACATGAAATTACAAAACAGAAAGGTACTTTGTATTTCTAATGATATATTCATCTACTTATTAAGCTTGAGATACTCGAAACACTTGACCTTTTCCCCCAATTCTTGCACTGATGGGTTATGATCTGAAGAACCCTGCAACTCACGTCGGCATACGTAATAAAAATATTTAAACATGCCATGTCTTTTATGCGTATGGATAGGTACGCCTTGATATTGCGGTTATTTCTGGCACATTGTTCAGTATAGATTCTATTCCTCCGCGAGGTTTTACATTATGATAACAATTGCAATACAAAGTTTCTTTTGATATGCAAACCTATTTTCGGGTACAGTTGTAAACGTATGGTGACAAAATATCTGACTGTATGTAGAGGGCCCGGAAAGACATGTGCTGGGAAAATGAGCTTTGAGTAACTAATTCGAAGGACATTTGTCGCAACCAAATCAGCGCAACACTATATAATATTTTACCTATTACAGTATCGTAGATAGACGAGGACTGCCCCGTAAAGTACACACGATCGACCCCTCAGGTAAGTCAGGCATTAATATTATCATACTAAAATAAATCGGGTGACAGCATTATGCAAAACCAGCCAAATGAATATCGTGGACAAGATATATTTAATGTAGCAATATGTTGTTCAGGTCACATATGTACGTGAGTTCATTGGGAGAGTCGGCAAGAAGCAAAGTACACAGCCACTTACTATCAAGCCAATATAACCTCGTACCCGTGGATGGAAATTGTGTCAAGAGGGAGCGAATATTTAAGCTTTTGCGACTTGTACGCCCAGCGTGTAGACACACGGTTCGAGTATCGACCACAGAGCATCACGTCGATTTTCGGTATTACTGTACAGCGAGATAAATGTCATAGCAACAACACGATTGGGTCGTATCCGTACAGCTGAATATATATTATTGTCTCGTATTGCGCTGGTCGATGTGAGAATGTATCGCTTTTAACCCTTGCTTTTGGAAGGATTTCGATTGAATCAATTGTTACCTACTAGGTTTGTATGAGGACAGATGTTCGTCTATGGACCGCAGTGACTAAACACAATCTGTTCATACTTGCTTCTTTTTTAAGTGATATCGTATCCATGAAATCGAGGTTACCGCGCCACTTTAGTCATAGCTACTATTCTATTCCGATATAAATCACCACAGCATATAAAAGATTCTTCCATATTAATCTAGCTCATACCAAAGACCACACTATCGGTTAACGTTCTCTCGTTGAACTGGTGTTTTTTCTTTCTTTTAAACGTATTAGCCGACATTGGCTGTGAGCAAACGAATTGTTAAGCAGCCAAAGAGATTTGATTCAGATACTACGCAGGATCCTACCCCGTGCGTATTATCTAAAACGCCAACGAAGAGCCTTTTGAATATTATAACATACCAGCGTTTCATTCGTCCTGCGATTCAAATATAGTCGAATATAAAAGCAATTGTAGCGTGGCCTGTAGAAATTGACACAATACAAAATACAGGTATAGTACTCAGCTCTTGAAGTTTTTTTTATAGCAATACGCCTGTATCATACGAGTCCTACTGGACTGCAATAGCTTCAATGACTATTCCATATTCTTTGTCAGTTC